AGATTGGTGACAATGTATTATCTTTTTACATTTTTAAATGTTTAAATGTAATTGTAATTTCTATGCTAACAGTTTCTTTTCTCGCTTGTGGAACTCTCTTACTTTTTATTGCTCCCCAGTCAATTTTGATCTTCAAAAATTTAAATGTAGTGTCAATCATTATATTCTATCTTAATTCCTTGTTCTTTTATTGATCTCTCCGCTTAATAGTGTTCTTTTATTTTCTATATTCTCTCATACTTTGTAACACTTACGTCTGAGTTGCATCATTGCCTTACAAATGGAGTGAAATGATTAGAAAAGAGTATTGGTGCGAAAGCAAATATAAGGAAATCAACAAGAATTCGATAGAGATCAACCCCTAAAATTCTTCTCATGAAAAGTGCCAGATACGACACTGGACCAATAATGTTGAAAGTGGTTAAATCTGTAGCTAGTCCAATAAACGAACAGAAATAATACAGAAAATCTATCTCCAGTAATTTCTGATGACATATAGTAGCAGTTTCTGGATCCGAGATAAATGCGACCGACTTAAACAAACTTGTAACTGTTCTTATTTATTTTTTGCTTAACAATGTGGAGCTTGGCCTGTCGTCAATAGAAAAATTTAGTCACATTGATAAAGACATCGGCGTGAAGCCAAGTCATATTTTAAGGCGATTTCGAGTTTATAATATATGTTGAGTTAAAATAAAACGAACATTTCAATAGAGACTAAATCATGCTTGTTTGTTTATTGGAATTTATGGTGATGAAAGAATGATTCACCAAGAAGACAATCAAGACTTTTTATGTAAATTCCATTCCTGGGGAGACCTGAGATGTATTATCGACAGTTCACGTGGCGTTGCTCGGATCGGAAGTTATGGAACATGTTCCAAGAAGGGATGGTAAACCTTCTTCAGATATTTAAACATAGGATGGGTAAAGGCGAGTTTTTTTTTCTTACACACTTTGTCGGATTATGAACAGACATCGTACAGCGCAATGAATTAACAATTTTCTATATTTCGATGTAATTTTTTTCACAATAAATTTATATTTTTCTCATAATGACATAATGAACATGTTGATATTCCGCACTGCTTAGAATAAAATATAAGGTAAAAAAAAACCCATAAATACTGGAAAGAGCGATAACATCTACTGGACTTGAGGTACTTATTTTCCTGAAAAATTGTTTTAAAGGAAAGATTTTATAAATTTCAACCAACAGTAGTACTACTTGCTCAGTCAATGAATACCAAATGTTTCCTGTTGTAACCTAGAAAAGGTTACTGAATGAGGAATAAACTAAATGGAAGTTGGAAATGAAATTGTAATCTTTATAACATCAAGAAAATACAATACTCGCCAGCGGCGTAAAGAAGGTAAACCACTGCTAGTGGTGCACTACTTAGACAGCATATTATTCGCACTTACTATAGTGTCCAACGTATTTATGAGGACTTGGACATATACCCATTAGCGTTCATAGTTACGGTATATAACATTTTCTTATAAGGAAACAACTAATATTACCATTGCCATTACCATATTTAGGCCATCAGATTAAAAAAAAACTGTATTTCCCTTTATAATTCTCAAGGAAAACATATGATTAATCTTCATAGATCTTATTTCTATAGCCGAACGTGAGTTATTAAAAAAAACTTTCAATTAAGTGCTGCCCTCGCCATTCATATCTGTATTTCCCTTGCTGTTAACCTGGTTTGTTAAATCCTGTTATGTGATTAATAGTCTATTCCAGGATTCATTTATCATAATGAACAGAGCGCACTCTGATTAACACTTGAAAATATTGGAGACATTATATACATTAGGTTCAGGCAGACTTCCCTCTGTAGACAAAAGGAATGGCTGCTGGGACTTAATGTAATCGGTGTATGATTATATTTTGTTCTGCTGATTCAATGGGCGCTCTTAATTTATTGTTTTTTTTTAGTAAATTCTGCTCATTACATGTTTGTCTTCGATTTGTTCCGAAGAGCCGTCAGCCTTTTTCTTTTAATTTTTGTTTATTGTTGTTATTGTTTCGATTCACCTCTTTACGTTAACTTATTTTATGATCCTTATTCTGCTTCCCCTGTTTTTTGTTTCATATTTATTGTATATATTTATATACAATTTCAATATAAACATTTCTCCCAATAGTAGAATGGGTTCCGAATAATTTTCAACATAATCCAATAATGACGAGAATCTTTAGATCTATTTTTAGACAGACCGAGAAATTTTCAGCATCCACGTGTATACATGTATTTGTTGTCGTCTTTATATACTAAATGACTGGTAGTAATTGGTGACGATCAAGTGACAGCAAACGTCTCATTCAGTAACTTTCTACACTTAGTGATAATTGGACTTTGTATTGAGTTAATTAAAATAAATAAAGTTTTGGATCATCAATAGCTTCCTCGGCACTCTTGTCGACCCTAGGGCTTCTGTATTTTGGAAGACTTTGTCTAAATATCTGAGTTGTTCAATCTTGTCATAAATATCGTTTTTAGCGCGTCACTAATTATCAACATAAAGCTAAACCTGATGATCCATAGATTATTCACTTAAGGGAGTTCTTGCATTTTAATATTTTAATTTTTTTTTTACATTTTTGATTCTGTTTCCATTAATTTTAACTATACAGTTAAGTGGGTTGGTTGTTTTGTTTAGCAGATCAACACCTCTATTGCTTATTTAATGTCAAAATCTAAATATTCTGTTTTTATTTTTTTTATTTTTGCATATAATAATGGTTTCAGTGATACAAGTCTTACTATTTAATCCATAGTTGGGAGAGAAGAGCTGGATTCACACCTTTCCCAAGGTATTTGTGCGTAAGTGAATATAACACACCCAACTAGGTTCTTCGATTAACAATTTCAAGCCATTATCCATTACACCACCTTTACCCATCCTGTATTTAAAGATCTGAAGTAGGCTTACCATTCCTTCTTGGAACATGTTCCCTAACATCCGATCCGAGCAACGCCATGTGAACTATCGACAATACATGGAATTTACCCATTAGAGCACCCAGTATTCTCAAGCGGTCACCGATCTAGGCACTGACCAGGCTTGACGCTGCTTAACTGGTGATCGTACTGGAACAAGTTTTTCAACGTGATGTGGCCGTAAACCATACAGTTAAGTGTCAAAAGTTATAGCAAGACAATAGGCAGATATATATTATGCTGATTATGTTAGGACTGTCATTTATTATAATGTATCTTGTTTCAGCTGTTTGCAAATCACGCTACAGGGTTGGTATATATAAAAAAAACTTTTGAAAACAGAGATACAAATGTGTATCATATCTTGTTTTTCTTTTTCATCCTAATAGAGAGCGTTATTTAAACAGAGCCTCAATAAAAAAAAAACAAAGACGAGTATGAGTTTCTTGTGGACATCGCTTCAGTGGCGCGGTGAATAGAAGGATAATCTCACCTGTTTTGTGACTGATAAGCTATAAACAAAAAGAGACGCTAGAAAATAAAAGAAGGATCCTAATTACACGGTTCAGGAGGTCGTACACAAAGCGACAAATGTGAATAACTGATACAAATTCAAATCGAGTCTTCCGACATATCAATTGAAAATGGCCGACTACAAAGGAATATGTGGAAGACATTATTAAAAACAGTTTCATTGGGAATATTACGCATTAAACAATTTGAAATAAGGACAAAGAAAGAGTCAGAACACTCATGCAGTTCGACAACCTAACTAGGCATTTTGTTTATGGATCCAGAATTTCGACATAACAGCTTCCAAAAGAGACATATCCCTGTGCATTTAAACTTTTTCCTAGAACTTGTGTATTCAGTCCTTGGGTTTAGTGGTATTGTGAAAAGGGTATGTCTCTCTATCGAGAAAGTATTTATACACCCAAAATGTGTTATTATAAGACTAGTTGGTCTTAACTGTTATGATAGACGAAATGATTGTAATTCTATTCTGTTTATTGAATAAAAGGTTGGGTTTAAAATTAGAAGAACATATGATGAAAGAATAACAGCCCAGATGCTCAAGCTAATCCAAAGAGCAATGCATATAATAATCATTAATTCTAACCTATGTAAAAGCTGATAAAATGTATGAAATTAACTCTGACAACGTGTGTTTGTAATGTTTTTGATTACACAAAAGACTCATTTCAGAATTCATTGAATATATTATAAATGCTCGCAAAAGAAATTCGTTTTGAACTGCGACAAAACAGCAAAAACAGATGATGTCCAAATCAATTTTGATGTAAGATCTAATCTTTCGACTTAATATTCCTTGCTGAAATTGGTGTGTATCAGGTGTTATATACCAGTACTATAAATTAAAGCAGTTAATATTTCATTAGCAAATTGATGTTTTTACCAACTTATCCCCAGGCATTCTGTCGATATTTGGGATATTATGTTGAATTATAAAGAAAATCAACTCGATACAAGCTTTGTTGTCCCAAAAATGTCCCGTTATTAGAATTTGTCCGTGGTCACTTTTATCTTATGTAGTGTTCCCAATACATTGATATACTTTGTGACATATTTTGCATTCTTGGAAGGCTTACAAATAAACTAAACCCAAACATCAAATATTTATGCGTTAAATATTTCGAAAGGTCAAGCTGAAAATGTTTTCCGTAACGTGATTACAACGAACACAAGTTCTGACATATTTAAACGCCATTATCATAGTAATTTTCTAAGCATAGCTTAGATGTGACACAAGGCCGAAAGTATGGAGCACCAAGTGAGGATCGAAGTCAGTCTAATCAGTCGTAATTGTTCTAGCGAGAAAAGCTTGTTACACAACACCGAAATGCCCAAACACGCTATTATTATAAGTCACTCATTTCTACACATAATTGACTAACACAGGAATTCAACAAGGTCTCGATATGAACGAGTATTTGCGCCTAAGTGAATATAAAGAACCTGACTGGAATTGGAACTCCGCTCTCCGATTAACAACTCGTTAACCATTTCCCAATCCGCTCATTCAAACTTACAGCACCTGGTATTTCCAAGCGGTTAGCCATCTAGGTACTGACCAGTCTCGATGTTGCTTAACTTCGGTGATCGTACGGGAACAGGGGTTTCAACGTGATGTGGCCGTAAGCCTTAGTGGATAAAGCATTATCCATCAATATCAATAATTTTATATTGTCGTTACTTTTATCATAATCTGTTTAAGACAGTATATTCGTACTAACGCGTGTCTAAAGCTCATTTGCAAGTTACGTGAAGAGGTGAATTGGTTCATTAGACTAGTGAATATCCTATTATTTTAATCATTTCACCCCAAGCAAGGCGGGAATGCCATTGCTACGCAGGGTGTTACAGGGATTGAAAGTGAGTGAAAAGACTGGGAATAGGGAGGATTGAGGATAGGACAAAAGATGAATGAGATTCAAGATATAAGATGGTGATTGACGTTACATTTAAATTTTTGAAGATTGTATTTATCAGGGAAGCAATAAACGGGAGTTCCACAGGCGTGAAGTGCGAGAAAAGAAACTGTTGAAGTAGAAGTGGCGGTTGCATTTAGCTGTTTCAACAGTAAACGGGTGGGACCTAAATGCCAATCCAGTAGCACGCTTAAACTCATGGCACCAGGAAAAAAAAACTTAAAAAAATCTCCGGGCACCAGGAAAAAAAACAAGCCAAAGCAATTGCTATGAAAATATTTGTAGAAAAAGACGGAAGGAAGCCACGTCACGTCGGTGAGAACGTATCTAAAGTAGAAATGCCAAGTCAGAATAGATTGCATAGCAGACCCTTCTTTGGGTTTTGTCAAGAACCTCGACAAGAATAGCAGGAGCGCTAAAAATGAATGAGTGAATAAGGCATGAATCTACTGTCAACATCACATATAGAACAGACTGTTTTTGATAGTAACAAAATCAACACTCTCTTAGATAAATCGTTTCAGAAATCAAATGATAGTGAAAATATAAAGAATTCTCCCGACCATGTTTTTGTCTATCAGAAAGTTGGAATCATTACGTAATAGAAAAAAAAACAAGGTAAATTATAGGTTTACTATTCAGATACGAGAAGTTGGTTAAGAGGTAAAAGAGAGAGACAGAGAACAAAAAGCAAGTGTAACAATCAGAATGTAGAAAACAAGTTTTCGTGCAGGAGAGAAAAAACTCTAATTGCATTTTACGCATCCTGTGCATTTCCTTGCGTTTTAGGCCATGTGACAATACGGTTCACTCGACATAATAGCTGTCAACGCATTCGGAAACCTTACTGCTGTGACTGCCACAAGCATACCATTGTTCCTAACCTTTATAGCTGCATGATGCTTACGTATAGTGTGTCTGACATTCCTGATACGACATTGCCTCATGGAATAATTTGCTTGAAAGTGCTTCAGTTCGCAAAATGATACTAAAACTATGCTTTTGGCGAATACACGATGTTCAGGATAGCAACACACTCCAAGATTGAGATTGCTTTTATCCAGGATTTGATGTTTTGTTTAAATGAGGCAAAGGGTTATTAATTAGCTTCTACATTGAGGGTAATTTTAGGTACGTTGATGGCTGATGGCATAAAATGATGAAGCTAATTAAGTTCTGACTGCTTATTCTCTAATCTATTTGTTACCATAGATATATATATATATATATATATATATATATATATATATATATATATGTGTTCCTTTGTCCGTTTTTTGTCATAGATATCAAGCTATTCTTAATGAATTCAAATTGTATAATGAATTCGATTCTCACTTGCAGTACGATACTGAGCAATGCTATAACGAACTTGACAAAGATTCCGCTTCACACAAACATATACTTATACACACACGTGCAAAAAATGCACACATAAATATTTAACTAAAATTTTTCCAAAAAAAGGCTCGAGAAACACTCAAGGTAGAGAAGCATTGAGTGGAGGAAATGAGGTTGATTCGACTCCGAGGATGTAGCGCAGACAGTTCTAACTGTAAGGGTCTGAACTAAAAAGTGAAGCTCATCAGAACACTTGCCATGGAAATAGCGATAGAGTAGGAATAACGTTTGATAATGGGTTTATGGAAAAGATGCTTCGGACTGTAATATAAATTACCCCTCCCCCCACAAGATTGCGTATTCGGTTTTGCACTCAACGTTGAAATGTGAGGATTGTACAGCTCCAACAGGGATAAGGCCTCAAAAATACATTTTTGGTCAAATCTCACTCTCGTAAAGACAAAGCATGGTAGAAAAGACAGCTAATTCCGGAAACTACAGAGTGAGTCGACCATTTTTTTCAGTATATTTAATAATTTATTGTATATATGACTTTGACCTGATGCCTGTAGGGAAATTTTGTCCCAACAGACGTTAAACGCAGGGAGCCACGTTGGGGGTGGGGGAGGTGCAACCATTCTTTGGGACTAGAGAAAACTCACGATCTAATCAGTAATCTTCTTTTATGTGCCGTGTCTTCTATGGACATTGGCGATCATGGCTCTTCACAATTTCCTGGCTTTTGTAGCTCTTAATGAATTGTTGTTTTTTTTTTTGTTTTCTCCCCTAAATCTTACTCCGCCATCAATTTTCTCATTAGCCTTGGTTAACAAGCAGTCTAGGAGAAGGAAAACTCTGAATTTACAATGTGGTGGGGGCTGTTTGGAATCCTCTTAACATTACTATTTTCACAGGTTGTCCGTATTCAATTCCCCGTTTTATTTTATGCCATCAGCCATCGACGTACCTAAAATTACCCTAAATGTAAAAGCTAATTAATAACCCTTTACCTAATTTAAATAAAAAATCAAATCCTGGATAAAAGCAATCTCCATCTTGGAGTGTGTTGCTATCCTGAACATCGCGTATTTGCCAAAAGCGTCGTTTTAGTATCATTTTGCGAACTGAAGCACTTTCAAGCAAATTATTCCATGAGGCAATGTCGTAGCAGGAATGTCAGACACACTATGCGTAACCACAGGTTGTGAATGGAACTGCACCAGTCGTCATCGCTATAATCAAATCATATGTGCGGGTTGTCGGACTGTTTAGGTTTAGGAATTTACTTTTTGAAAAACGACGGTAGAGTCCATCCTCCTCCTCCTCGTCATCATCGTCATCATCATCGTCCTCGTCGTCATATCCATGTATAAGAGAAGGTTCCGTAAAATGTACGGTGTCTGTGAAAGAAATGCTACGTCAAAAAATCTTTCTGTTCATTTGAAGTGATCTTTTTTCACCATTAGAAATTGGAAATATTCGAGAACTTTGTCATTAAATATCAGCAGTTTTTGAATGCTTTACTTGCTGACTGGTTCAGTCTGAAGTCGGACGACCGGCTGATCGGTTGGACTCTCTGCCTTCGGGCGGGGAGGAACCCAAACGAGTCTACGCCGAAGGGCGGACCGGCCTTGTGCCACATGATGCCCTCGTGGGGGGGACTAACTACTAGTCTTTACTTTACAATGATTCAGTTTTGACTACCCACTGAATTAAATACCTTAACGAGGAAGGAAATAACACTGGAAAATAAATACTGTATTTAAAATAATTGTATCATTAGACTGCATAAATGTTGATTACATATTTTTTTCTTATCACTATAAACGTTATTTTGAGTCAGCAAACGTATCTGAGTTGCTATCTCTGATTATTTTAATTTCTTAACCAGTGAAATTAATAAAAACCGGCTTAGACTGAGATGCCCTACTAAAGAAAGATTGTCTCGGACAGGAATCTAACCTGTACCCAATTTCACATCATGGAAACCAGTTATATAGCTAAAACGTGATGTAAAACCCCGGATCTATGAACAGAAGAGAGACCTGCGTTTAGACAGGCATTCTAAATTTCTCGTCTTACATCGAAATGACGTGGGACATAACTTTGATTTCACTAATGACAGTCTAATTAACAAGAACGTAACCCTTTAGGGAGAAAATATTTTGAAAATATATATTCATAGCATTACTACCAACAATAAACACTCGCTTAAAACATATCATGATATCACCATTTTTCTACAGATCCATTATTCATGAATCGAATTTATGTCTAAAATAATGAGGATTTTACAAATTTCGCTTTTCAAAATTACGCATGTTAATTCTAACCAAAACTAGATTTTTACAGTATCTTCCTTCGTTTTACCAACCCACACAGAATTGACGACCACAGAGTTCCCCACGCACACATACACGAGAATATAAAAATCCAACCAAATACATTATATTATTTTGCAACATATCGCTACGTTTCACCGACAAAATACGATTGTCACATCTGTAGACTTTCCTTACATGCACACTTATACACTTACATGAATTAACGTTATCTTCCTGCATACGCCTACATACGCAAGCGTTTCTTTGCTTACACGCACTTACACAATCACACTTTAACATCCTAATGTTCGTCACAAACACTATTTATATAATATGTATTGCGCTTATACACGTGACGCGTGTCTGACCAATGAGGACTACCAAAAATCATAACATTCCAGTGCTGTGTCTCTTTGCTTTTTTCATTTCTATAGAGTTGAAATTGAAATATGTCACCGTAAATTATATGCTAACATCTTCTCTGGAAATTCTCTCTTGTGGAACTCTTTTTTGGGCTTCTTGCTTCATAGTGAACCTTGTTATTCAAAAATGTTAATGCAATGTCAATCACTATCTTATGTCTTAATTCGTGTTCATTCATTGTTCTCTCTCCACAATGTATTTTCTTCACATTCTCTGATACTCAGTACATCTCTGTGTCTTAGTGGATTTATTGCTCTGCTTGCATTGAAATGATTAATATCTATCTCTCTCTCTCTCTCTCTATCTCTCTCTCTCTCTCTATCTCTCTCTCTATCTCTCTCTCTCTCTCTCTCTCTCTCTCTCTCTCTCTCTCTCTCTCTCTCTCTATCTCTCTCTATCTCTCTCTCTCTCATCTATCCATCTCTCTCTATCTATCTCTCCCCATCTATCTCATCTATCTATCTCTATCTCTCTCTATCTATCCATCTCTATCTCTCTCTATCCATCTATCTCTATCTATCTCTATCTCTCTATCTCTCTCTCATCTCTCTATCCCCATCTATCTCTCCATCTCTATCTCTATCTCTCTCTCATCTCTATCTCTCTCTCTCTCTCTCTATCT